TGGAAGCTACAAATAAGAGACTGAGGTCTGTGTAGGTTGGTGTTTTCTGCTATCTCTCTCTTTGCTTGGAAATGACTATTTTCTTCCAGTGTCCTCAGGTTTCTGAGGATACCAGTCACCAGATTAGGACTTCATTTTGGCTGAATTACTCCTGAATTACTCCAGATATTTTGACTCCACAATATACATGGATTGGGGCTTTAGCATGTACTTAGGGAAACATATTTAACCTCATTTCATCCATGTCTATCATTTTTGAACCCCTGAGAAAAATTCATATGGAAGCAAACAAGGAGCAATTCACAGGGTTATAAAAATCTTCACATCCTGAAGTTCACGCTTCTCATCATTTTGTCAATCATCATTTAGTATTTTACTGATGCTGATCATATATTAAAATGTTATTGGGTATGGCAGCAGAAAACATTAATAAGCTAAGTGGAAATGTGACATTTCTGGCAGATGCTATCAATATAATTGCTTATCATCTATAATATAGCAAATGTTTTTCATTTCAGAAATAATATATTAAATATTTAGATGTCATCCCTGTTGCCTCAGGGTGGACAAAGTCAGTAGGAAAGCCATTGTTGAGTGCAAGATCATGACAGTGGCCCACCGACTCAGGAAAGGGAAGAGATTTTTGCAGAAAAAGAGAAAGCCAAATACTGATTTCTCATCTCTGTGTGTGAAAAGGTGTTAGAATGTTAGGACTGTGCAGCTATATTAGTAAACTAATAATAAAACTTGTCCATTTTCTACCTTGTATATGCAAGAGTCAAGTCAATCAGTGACCCTGACACACCAACACATGGCTGGGTTTTCTTTCATGTCAACTGTACATAGAATGTACATTATAAATTTTCTGAGAAAGCAAAGAAGCCCTCATATGTTCTCCCCCCACCACACACAAAAAGGAAGTGGGAAGCTGGGAGGAAAAAGAGGCTGGGATGCTTGTAGAAAGAGAAATAAACTTGATTTACATTATTTAGATGTCATTATTGCCTATTTACTTTATTTATAGCTATTTGTTTCTTTATTTACAACAGTTTATTGATAGGTGCTTGAGTTCCTTTGGAAAATACTTTTTAGGGACTTTTGTTAACTTGACTCTGTTTGGTTGAAATAAATAATCTACCTATATTGTACCACTTTTTATAATATTTAGCATGTTATGTATTACTATTATTTATTTATTTATTTATTTTAGACAGGGTTTCTCTGTAGCTTTGGAGCCTCTCCTGGAACTCTGTCTGTAGACCAGGCTGCCCATGAAATCACAGAGACTGCCCGTCTCTTTCTCTTGAGTGCTGGGAGTGCCCACCCTCAGTTACACAGTTCCTCCAACAAGGCCGCATCTCCCAGTTCCTCTCTAGTAGTGCCATTCCCTAATGACCAAGCATTCACACATAGGAGCCTATGGGGGCCATTCCTATTTATACCGCCATATGCCTTTCTTCATCCCTGCCATTTTTGCTATGAAACTGAGATAAATCTGCCCCAGAATACTCAACTCTTTCACTTAGAAAGTATCTGTCCTTAAAGTGTTTAAATGGATCCCCCACCGGCACCATTTCTCTCATTTCCCTAGTATAGAAAATAGTTTAGAAGTTATCCCGCCAACCGCATAACGGTTGTTCCTAAGGGTCTGTGGTGAGAGGAGGAGATGGCTCACATCCTTTGATTATTCAGCTTTGTGGAGCAAACTGACGTCATAAGATCCCATAGAAGCTGCTGATAAGAATTTGGATTAGAATTTACAAGAAGTATAGTGCAGTACAATACTGATCTGGAGCTTTAAAACGCCCTATTCTATCCAGGGGATCATCTCCTAATAATCTATACTCAGACAAACATTTTAATGCACCTTGATTGGGAGCAAAAATAACAAAAAGCCATCGCAGTAATCCAAATGAACTATAGAGGAAGAACTGTTTAGAAAAATGGGATACGTTATTTTCTATCATTAAAATACTACTTGGTCGTGTTTCAAGGTTTATACAAGTATCACAGAATGTAGACTCAACAGATTTTTAAAGATTTATTTATTTTTATTTTATATGTATGAGTGTTTTCTCTGCCTGTATGTCTGTGAACCAAGTCAGTGTCTGGTGCCCAGAGAGTTCAGAAGAAGGCATCAGATCCCCTGCACCTGGAGCTACAGATGGTTGTGAGCTCTATGTGGGTGCTGGGAGAATAACCCAGGTCCATTCCGGGAGCAGCAAATACTTGAACCGCTGTGCCATCTCTCTAGTACTCAACTGTTTTTAGCGCATCCCTAATAAAAACAATAGGAAGAAATATAAATAGAAGTTACCAATAATCATTTTGTTTCCATATTGTACAATGATGGACAACTCCTGTTAGAATGTAAAATGTTTCTCTATTGTCTACATGAGCTCATGCTACATTTAAAAACAGAAAAGTTATTAATATTTCCAAGAATGATAAAAATAACCCAGAGGGGAGAAATTATCTTTTTTTCACACTGCCTAAAATTTATAAACACTTTTCTTCTTATTAACTCATTTTCCTTGTGGATGTTCACTACTTTATGTCACAGAAATCTGTAATGTATTTGCAGTAAATCAGCAAGAAAAATTGGTCCCAAAGCCATTAAAACCCTGGCATGGTCTTCAACATAAGTGTGGCCTATAAATATCTTTAAAATTTGAAATATGCACATAGAACAATCTTGAAAACATTTTTTTTCTAAAATTTTTTGTAATACCAGATTTTTGAAGATGCAGTTTTGTTCCTTCTGCCATTATATGTGAGACGCTCAAGCTGCATCTGGTACATAGTGGAGATGGCGTGCATATGTGCTTCTCACTGAAGAAATAAATGTTTGGGAGGCAGTTGTAGTGAAGTGGATCTCAGAGCCCATCATCTCAGACAGGACTCAATCCCAGTATCCCTCCATGAGGATGCGGGTTTTATTCTTGCCACTTGGCAGACTGGCTGATTTTCTTGACACAGGGCTGATGTGTGTCAGGGAGCAACATGAAGCAGATGTCACTTCAAGTTGGCACTTGCTTTTTAGTAAGTGCTTCACAAAAGTCTCGAGGTTTCTGCATGAAGAAAATGGGCCCGGGATGTGCTATGATACGAAACATCCTCCCCATTCTTCTCATTTCCTTCGTCTTTCCTATTGGCAGTTGTCGTTTGACTTTCTTTCAGATTGCTGGCTCACAAATAACAATGAGGAGACTTATTATTAATTGTGAAAGCTTATCCTTTGGCTGGGTTTGTTTTTAACTAGCTCTTATGGCCCATATTTTTAAGCCTATGGTTCTGTCACGTGACTCATTAGCTCGTTTCTGTACTGCACATCCTGCAATCCTCTGCATCTCCCTGGTTCATTCCTCATGTCTAGATGACTCCTCTTTCTCTCTCTCCCTGGAAATCCCACCTATCCTCTCCTACCTAGCTATTGGCCATTCCGTTCTCTATCACACCAGTCACAGAAATACATCTTCATACAGTGGACAAATACCCCACAACAGGTAGTTGCTACACTTTACTGTAGTTCCTTTGGTTCTTGGAGGCCATCATAATGATGGAGCTTATAATCATAATTTATAGCAATAGGAGGTGTTTGAAATTTTACTATTTTGTTAGAAGGTCTCAGGACTTTAGGAACACTTTCCAACTAATTGCAAATGCAGTGGCATCTCTAATCTAACAATGCAAACATTTACAGAGCGAGGGCCATCTTGTATCTGTGTCTCAACCATGAACACTTCTCTATGAACTTAGTCATAGGCCAAGGAAAGGATGAGGGTTTGCAAACCCAAGGGGGCTGAAACATCAGTGTGTTGCTGTGATGGATGTATGTCTCTATATTTTCCACATGAGCCCATGTTATGTGTAAAATATCTGGAGCTGGGAACAGAGCTGACATTCCCCCAGCAGTAGCCCTAACACTCACATGTTGCTCATTTCCTAGCAAGCATGTCTGCTTCACGGGATTAGTCCAGGGGGGAGAAAGTGATGGAGAGCCTGGGGTTTGAGTTAATGTTTGGCATGCCATGCCACTTGGCTCTGTTCAGTGTGAACTAAAGTGCTCTTCTGTTATACATCAGTGTCTGGGTCCTCCTGACTCTAAATGCTTTGGAGAGTGGCCACTGCATGACCACTATAAAGCACTTGGCTTCACCAAGTGAAGTTCTGCTCTAGGTCAAGTGGGGACCCTCATGCTCACACCAAACCTTTGTCTTACCTTGAAAACTACTGAAATGAAACTGGCTTTATCCAGAGAGTTAATTCAAGCTTTGCTCTTAAACGTAAGAAAACAATTTTAACCTTCCAAATGTGACCCTCTGTGTTCTCATATCAGTCAAAGAGAGATGTAAGAACATTGAATAGAGAAGGATGGAGCCATTTGGTGCAAATCCTAATGGGCTAATGCGTGGATCTAGTTGAAGGCAGGTCGATACCCTCTGTGTGTTTCGCCCAACTCTATGACCCTGTAGATGGACTGCATACCATATGGTCCATTGTTCTCCTATAAAAAGAGCTGCCTGAATGTATCAGCAGCTGGAGATACACACTAGAAGCACTTAGGAACTGTTTGCTCAGAAGGAAAAGAAAAAAGAATGCTAATGAACATTTTCAGTCGAAGGGATTCTGAAACGCACTGGAGCTAAACTAAACAAGGCTGTTGAAGCCTTCCATAAGGAAGAGATCCGGTTCACTCCCAAGAGAGGCCAGCCTGTTGTATATGCTTTCTAAGCAGGACCCTCAAACAATATTTGACATTCCAAATGGAAGCAAGCAACATGATAACAAGCATGTTTAGTGGTACACATAGGTAGGCTGTGTTCTTGCTTATTTTATAGGTATTTCCCCAGCTCTTGTTTGTGCACATGTACACACACTGGCAATTTAGCAAGAGCCAACGCCTGTGTGCTGAACTTGGCCAATTATAAGAAACCTGTCTTCCCTCTCACAGATTCGGACCCTGATGCTGTTCTCTTTCTCTCTCTTTGAAACTGCAGCAGAATCAAAGAAGAAGAAAAAGGAAGGCAAGAAGCAGGAGAAGATGCTGGATTAAAAGACGCCACGTTCCGTGGGCCAGGAAAAGAACATCAGCAAACAGGATTAGTTAACTATTACATTTATACCTACCGTAGTCTTTTTATTCAACAGTTATCTGTAGCTTAAGTACACGATAGGAAAAAAAAAAAAAAACAGAGAAAAGACTTTTTTTTTTTTGTAGTAGCGTTTTTAAAAAAAAATGTATGCCATAGAACCACTAGGGGCTTATAATAAAGGACTGTAATACTGTTTAGAAAGTTGAGCTGTAGTATGTGATAGGTGGTAGGCAATTGAGGTAAGTTTTTTTTTGATGTTCTATGATGTTTCACCTTTAAATCTTTTTTCTTTAATTTTTTTTACACCCCCCCCCTTGGGCAGCAATTTAAATGCTACAACCATGTAAACTAGTTCTCTTGCTAGATAGGTTTTCACCTAGACTTTTTTTTTCCCTGATTGTGAAAAATATATACTAAACAAAGCAGCAATAAAATATAATCATTCTATTGGAGAGAAATACATTGCTTTCTGCCAGTGGAAATTTCTTTAAAAATTAACAAATTGAGAGGAGGAGAAAGGCAAAACAGTGATGTCATTCATGGTGATTTCTGTTTTTTAAAAAAGCATTAAGACATGGAATTCTTTCACTTTGGCAGAAACATTGGTTTTCTTGATGAAATTATTTTTCCATCTGAGGAAAGAGAATCTAGGAAAAATAAATCAAAGTGATACTGAATAAAAGGTGGTTTGTGTGCAATAATTTCAATTTGTAATTCTCTCTTCGTCAGCCATGTTGTGAAAGTCCATCACGCAAGCTAGTTAAAATCCTCATGGGCACAAATGTTACTAATGTGTTTCTTCTTTTTTCTTTTCTTTTGTGATTTAGTAAGGTGTACAGGCTGAACATCCCTAAACACCAAATCTGATATGTGCTAAATACCCAACAGTTTTGTGTACAGACCTGATTTCACACATGAAAAATTCTACCCGTGACCCCAGGGAAGATTCAGAGTTAAAATTCAAACACACAGAAGTATTGCATAAACTTACCTGGGATTGTGTGTACAAGGTACATAGGAAACAATTCAAGTCAGTACTTATTGCTAGATTCCATTCCTTAGACACCATATTGTGTGTAGACAAATTATAAAGTTAAAAAAATCAAATGTGATATCCTTCATTCCAAATATTTGAGATAAAAGACTCTTGACTGTATCAGTATTGAATAATTTCATAATGGAATTCAACAAATTTCAATAAAGCTTCAAATTAATGTTTAATGCAAGAGAGGAAGGTTCATCTATTGAATGAGTTTTGGATAAGCATGATACAGACAAAACGCAAACAAACTGACAGTTTCCAGAAACAAGAGTTTGCAGTCTGTCCTATACCGCAAATACTGAAGAGACTGAGGGCTCCTCTTCCTCAGTTGACATTAAAGTGTAATCTTGAGTAAACAAGCCTGGGTTTCTCCCTCTCAGAGAAACAAAGACGCTGGAAAGCTCTAGACTATGGTACAAAGTCTTGACAGAGTCATCACCGATCCTAAGATATTCAAATTTGATGAGCAAATATCTGTCTACCAAGATGATCGCAACCCCATTTTCATAGACAGTAGCCCTGCACATTGTGGATTAGCCACAAAACAGCTAATTACACCTGGCTGTAACAAGCAGCCAGAGGCATCCACAGCTAAGCCTTGCAGGCCATCTTGTCCAAGACTCCACCTGAGCTTGGGAAGCTGAAAAGTCTGTTTCAGCCCTAAGTCAAAGCCAGATGCCAGTGGGGAATTTAACAAGGATGAACATGTAAGCATCTTAAGTATTGGTGCTTAATAAAATCAGAGTGCCATGTAAAGCCCAACTGACAGAAACACGGATAGGAAATGTGGTCCTTTTGTGTGCCGGCCTTCATAGGAAAAGGTACTCATGGGGATGGATGGATGCAGGGATAGAAAGGCAGTGTCTCAAGTGGGGTTTTGACAGTGTATTACCAAAGGGCGGAGTGATGAAAGACTCTGCAGCCACATTTGTTAGACTCCAGGCTAACACCGTTGTCATCATCATGCAAGCAAAGCAGTCAGCCATGAATCATTGATGAATTAAGGTGAACTAGACCAGAATCTCCCAAGGGAAAGGCAAGCCTGTAACTAACTGTGATGTGCTCCATTAGTCACAGGACAAGACAGGAATCTAAAAGTAGGCGGGGTTCTCTGCTGTGTCAACTATGATTCTTGGCATAATCACCCTCACATCTGGTGTGACATTCAACTCTCCTTAAGTCTTGAGAACTTCGAACATCTTAAGATGTTAAGTGCACAGAAGCACTGAACTGGTGTAAGAAACAGTTAACCAAACCAATGGTGCTCACAAATAAGAAAATAGCAGACTGCTGCCACTCACTGGATACAGTTCGAGAAAATGCCGTCTCCTCAAGTGTCCCCATTTTTATCAATGACATTTCAGTGTTCATTGTTCCTGAAAGATGGGAAGAGAAAGGTAAGGAAACCAACTTCATTTCCTCAAACTCTTAAAGTGATTTCCATCCTATATTTGGGAAGACACAACGCAGCTTTGCCTGAACCCTGGTAAAATACGACTTCCCATAGCACAGAGAGGCTTCCTGCTCAGTATGTTGTAACAGATCCTCCATCCTCCAACTTTCCCAGTGATCCTGAAGATTTGATACTGTTACCCCCGGGTGTGAAGAGAGTCACTGTAAAAACATGAACGACTTCACATCTTGTTATCTCTGTTGGAGAGGAACGGAACAGCGAATTTATCTCTGAGCATTTCCCAAGGAAAAAAAAATAAGAAAAATAGTGGATGGAAAAGGCATTGGTCTCAGCTGTACCTCTAGAATTAAGCTTGTGGCACCTGTTAGGTCTTCTCTCTCTCTCTCTCTCTTTCTCTCTCTCTCTCTCTCTCTCTCTCTCTCTCTCTCTCTGTGTGTGTGTGTGTGTGTGTGTGTGTTTATCTCAGTTTTTTTCCACTGCCCTTTTTCCCTCCCTTCCTGTTTCTTCATACATAGGAGAAACAAAGGTTGCCTTTGGTTACGTTGTGACCCCTTGTGAAATGTCCTCTTGATCTGCTGCTCCTCTGAGTATGACGGTTGATGTGTGGTAGGCCTGTAGCTGAAACAGAGGATTTTCTCAGATGCAAAGACATTACTTTGACTCTTCTATGGGGGCTTACTTTGAATTCCCCACCGCGAGCTTCATGGTACTTACATGTCTGTGCATCACCAGACAAGCATGAGACCAGCACATAACGAGCAAGGCTCCACCTTTCCATGAGGAAATTGTTTGACTCGTCACTGAAGATACAAGTAAACAGGGTAGATGGGATGCTCCAAGTGCTGCACAAGACGACATTAAAACACAAAAGAGTTGTAATATAACAAGCTACCTTTCTATTGTCAGGGATATAAAAAATCTAATCTATTATTTACTATAGGACAAATGTCACAAATCCCAGGTCTTGAGGGGTCAGGATAATTAACTGTGAAAAAATGAATGCAAACTTGAACATAAGATCAAAAATTGTTCGTATATTGTAATTTTCATTCCCAAGAACGTTATTATCATAAGATATGTGGACATTAATCTTATTTTCAGGGGCTCAGAATTATTGGACCCCTGTTTCAAAATTGCCAACATCACAAATTGAGTATTATGTCTAAGTATGTAGTACTGGACCGCATTCTAGAGAGAAGGAGAAACATCATGGCACTCAAGTAAAGGGCACAGATAGATGTGCTATCTATCTATCTATCTATCTATCTATCTATCTATCTATCTATCATCTACCTACCTACCTACCTACCTACCTACATATCAATTATCTATCATGGTGCTCACCAAGTCAAATAAGTTCGACCTAATGATAATGAATTAGTGTTATTCAAAAACACTCTTTGGAAAAAATACAGACATTTTGTATATGAGGAGGACATATCAGTGAAATATTGAGAGTTCATATAGTAAGAAGTAAAGGTTTGCAAAAGAATTATCTAATTTGCCCTATAGAGGAGAACTCTTTAGATCTCCTAACTCTAGGCACATGTGATAGATAATGTCTGTTGAGTGCTATCAGGCTGCCCTCATTTTCCACAAACATCTTTCGATTTGCACATCTATCTCCCATGGTGTACCATATGCCAGGAGTATGTGTTCTGTCCAAATTGTGAACTCATATCAGCTTGATTTTAGAAATGTTTTAGACAATTATAGTATATGGGTTGAGGGATTGGCAGCCTCTTGAATCACACTGTGACACAAAGTGTTGGCATTCTCCATGCCCCATGAAATGAAGGACTATTTTTAACAAGCAAAGGGAAACTTTCATTGTGTGACCGCTCCTTCGGGTTAGGAGGTGAGCTATCTCAGCAAACAGCTTGCCTTCCCTTGGCCTGAGAAATGGATGCTCTTTTCCTGCCCAGCTGAAGAGGCTTGTATTAATCTAAGCCTTTGTGGCTTTTCCAAAATTCTATATTTCAAGTAGTCTAGATGAAGAGAGAAAAGGCTATAATTACATTTCTTACTAGTTTATATTAGAAGTTTACCAATCTTATAATCAGGATCTAATAGAGATAATAAAATATCTACTTTGAGCTATTAGAAGGAAACAGGACTGGGTTCATGCTGCAGCCCTAATCTGTCCTCTACAGTTTGAGTCCTTGCCTCTACATTAAAAGATGTCTAACAAGCTAAATCAATTGCTTTGAGTGGCATTTGACCAGGATTTCCAATCATTTAATAAAGAAACTTAATCTTAGGTGGGAAGTTGAATTCACACTTTCCGACAAGCACATCGTAGTCAAGAAATCTAACCAAATTCAAAATGAGATTATTTTCTTTTAAGAAGTGTGTTTCCAAAGTCTTTTTGAGCAAATCAGAATCTTGGTTAACTATACAGATTAGTTCCTGAAAATATTCTTGGGCGTGTTTCTGCTTCTAAGCATGGATCATACATTTCTCCCCATAGGCTACCCTAACTTATATTCATTAATAATTTATGCATTCATTTGTTCTGCATCGTTATGACATGTTCAGCACTGGTACAGATGTTGGGAGTTCAACAAAGAACAAAACGACATCTTGGCGTTCAGGAGATTGATACTCCTATGTGGGAAAGGCACACTGAATGTTGCTGCACAGCATAGAATTGATGTGTCAAAGTGTAGTCGTGTCACGGCATGGCATGGCATGATTTTCCCCATTGTTCCATGAGACTTTGTGCCATATGATGCTAATCTGAGTCACATTCATGTGACTTCTTACAGAAAGAGACAGACTATTGAAGTCTGATACTGGACATGTAGGTGGTTTCAGTACTTCATATTTTCCGTACATCATTTTTTTTTCCCAAAAAGTATGTCCATCAAGATGACCAGTCTTTTTACATGGCCTTACAAAGCACTCCGAAGTTCAAAACTGAAAACCACCAAGCCTTCATAGGCCACAACCCAGGATCTGACCACCTTTTAAGCCAAAATCTAATGGTTAAATGAAAGGACTTAAAAGGGAAGCCCATATTTTAAGGACAGAACTACATAAGAAAGTTAATCTAGAGTCATAGGTTATTGAGGCAAATAATTTGGTGAATGAATTGGATATATATATATATACACATACATATACATACATACATACATGTATGTATGTATATGTATATATACGTATATATATATATATATATATAGAGAGAGAGAGAGAGAGAGAAAGAGAGAAAGTAGAGTAA